CTAGCTCTTTAGGTTTTCAATTGAAACATGCATTTTTTCAGGGTTCAATCTATGCTGGCACATTGTCTTGATAAGCTTCTTTAATCAGATGCTATTGTAAGAAAGGCTGTCTGAGTCTACATTTGTTTACATTTATTAAAAATAGTTGTCATGTGTTTATATAGTTCCTTTGATCCAGAAAAATCCCCAAACACTTTGTAAGTTATGCTTAAAAGGATCATTTCCTCCACCCTGAACAGAAACCGTGTTGGGACCAAGGCATGGCAACAGATTCAAAATGTATAGAAATGTCACCATAATTCAGTTGGTCCTCACCCCCTCAGAGCACCATCAATTTTCCATCAGCTTCAGAACAGTTATTGGGACCATAAAAATGGTTTGGATTTTGGGGGCAAAAAGTAGTGAAAAGACCATCTTCCTAGAGATTGCATATTTTTCATGCACTTTCTTTTGCTTTGCAAATAAAGAAGCAGTGGTAGGTACCTACTGCACAAAGCATAGGGCTGGCAGCTTCCCAGCTAGACCTACTGTTTCCAGTTTTGGGCATCTCACTCCAGAGGAGACACAGACCAGCTAGGCAGAGCCAGGGGAGAGTAGAAGAAAAGACGGAGGGACAGCACCTGAGGACTTGTGGAGAAAGGCAGAGGAAATTGTTTGTTTAAAAGACAGAAGGCTGAGGTGAAACATGATTAAGGCTTCAAAACACATGAAAGGCTGCTGAGAAGAGGAAAGGAATAAACCTGTCTATGGGGACAGAAGTCACGAACTTGCGCTGTAGCAAGGAAGATTGGTGAAGCATTAGGCAGTAATTCTGGATGTCAGGAATTGTGAAATGCTGGAATAGATGTCTGCAGAGACTCTGGAATTGCTATCATTGTAGGGTTTTTTTGAGATTGGATTAGACATAAATATCAGGAAGGGTTTAGATCTTGTTCCTGTCTTTGGGACAGATGGGCCAGAAAGTCCCTCCTGGTCCTATCTTCTGTGATTCTGCTATGGTGTCACATGTAGTCAGATGAGCCCTGCCTATATGGATAAACCAAATCACACTAAAAATTATTTTGTGAGCTCCTTGCAAAGTCCTTGCAAGCTGAACCAGAACAGGAATTTCCTCAAAGGCTTGCATGTGTGTTTGTTTAATTTTTCAGTTTTAAAATGCTCCCAAAGCATCAAGGTGCCCCCAGCACAGAGGACTTGAATCATATAATTGGATTCAGTAGGGTCTGTTCACAAAGCCTCTGCCTGGGGCCCCATTTTGGGGGAAAGTTTTACATGTTCTAATGATGGTAAGACAATGTATGACTAATGCACTGATTTGAAAAACTGCCCTATTATCTGATCAAAAGTGCAAGCCCAGGAATATGATACTGCAGGTCATTTGGCTAAGAGATACCTGAAGTATTCCAAATTTTTAAAACAATCCCATACACAGAAGCAAAAAATAGAGGTATCAACAGTGGAGCCAATGGTTGCCTTTTCACCACAGATCATGTGGAATGTTTTGTTAAATATATTTTTATCAGACACAAAACACTGAAATACAAAATATCCTGGGCTGGCAAGAAGAGGAGTGATAATAATTTAGATTATTATCCCTCAGATCTGTGATTCATTTTTATTATTCTCTATGTTCATTTCAGGAATTATCAAAACCTCCCTGAGGACAATGGAAAGTTTCCAATTGAGTTCAAGGGACTGTGCTGCTGCTTTCGTCCTTAGGGAAGGTCCGAGGGTCAGTGAGATCCTATATGCATGTGCAAACATGCTCAGAGGGAGTGTGGAGAAGTCATCTCCTGACACCAGGGCCACCTCTAAGATTAGGTTGTATCTAACCTGGCTGCCTAGGGCCCCTCTGTAATCCCTAGGAAGAGAAAGACCCAGAGCAAGAGTAAGTACCCTCTAGAGACCTGCACTGGAATGAGGTGAACCACCTTCTGGAGAGGTTTCTCTCCCTATTCGCTATAGAAACAACCTAGTTACAAACTTGGAGATTTTACAGGGAGTTTTGTAGCATTTGGTAAAAGGGATCATTCTCTTTAAATATCTCTAAACCACCTTGGCAGTCAGCTAGGATGCTAGAAGTAAAGTTGCATTTAAGAAAATGTCTCATATGGATAAGCTGTGATTCATTTGCTATTAGCATGCTTTGTACACATTAATGGAAGCACAAGTTCTTCTCTTGTAAAGCACGTAAGGATTTTTTAAAACCAAACAACCCCACCTAACAGTATTTATCTTAACAAGGAAGCCTTTATAGAAATCTAATGTCTTGAAATGAGAAAATGACCTCACTGACTGAGGAGAAGAGTGGTCAAGAATTCTCAGGCCTTTTGACAGGAAACCCTGGAATTTTAAGTAAACTGTAGGGCTTTTCCCCACCAAAAAAACCCACTGTTTTCAAGGGAGAAAAAAAAAATCCAACAAAAAACCAACAAAACATTTGGGACAGTTGACTAGAAAATGGAAACATCATAAGGAAATGTAAAATGTTGATTTAAGGCCGCTTTAGGAATCCCTTAGAGGTAGTTGGCTGATGAATGGGCTCATGATTCTTTTACAGGTTCCCTGGCCAGCCTGTGTCCCCCATCGGACGTCTCACACAATACATCCCTGAGATGCAGAAGGACAGTTTGCTCAAGGGACATTTTAGCCTCACTGGAGGATCAAGCCCATAGCATGTGTCAGGAGCAGGATACACCCAAACTGCAAATCTAAATGGCATTCTGGCAATGTTTTTTAAATGGAAATTGAAAACCAGACTCCCCTTGCAGTTTAAAATTCAATTTAGGGCTAAATTGTGTAGTTCTGTAAAGTGGCAAACAGTAAGCAAAAGATGAGTACAAGCACCTACCCATGCTTAACCTTAGCGAAAACTGGTACAGGGGAAAAACCCCAAAATTGTAATCCCACTGTCAATGTTGCCAGATCTGTGCACCACAGCATCACTCAACAGGAAAAATGAGATCTGGATCAGAGGTTGTAGCATGACTGCATTTCTGTTGAATTACTCAGAGTGTGTAGTACCTAGTTTTGTCAGAAGTATACTTTAATGATGCTTTGTATTTTGCTGTGGGAAGGCTGTTCATACTTGATGTTTTGTGTATTACAGGAGCTTGGATCTGTGTGCCTGATCTGGTATCATTCTTGCCAACGCTAAATTAACTGCTCAAAAAAGATGGACAAATTTGAAACAGCAGCATTAGCTTATCCCAGATCAACTCTTTGTATTAAGTGACTGCAGCGGTTTTGATGCAATACAGCAGAAGCTCTAAAGCTATGTGTCTTGTATCATCAGTTCAAGACATAAACCAACCACTAACCATGGGAATTTAGATAAGAGCTTTCTCCGGCAAGGCTTGATTTCAGAATTTTCTATTTACAGCAGTTTGTTCCTCCGGAATGAGCACTGCTTCTCACTGTCAAAGACCTAATACTGGTTAGGTGGATTATCTGCTCCCATGAAGCAATTCCCCTGTCTTTAATTCTAGACTGCCTTTTCTTTTCACTCTAATTCATTGCACATTAGTTCAGATTACTTCTAGCTACAGAACAACTGTTCCACCCAGAAGATGTGATGACAGTATAAAGGATGAGGGAAGAAACTGCAGTAATTATCCCAGAACCTGGGGTGCAGTGTAATGTGCAGTGATTGTCTATTGGATTTGATGTTGACCTACATGTGTGTTTACCAGTGCTCTCCTTTGGGTCGACTCTGATCTTCTCATAGTTTGTGATTGACTCAACACATTTGAAGTATCTGAGCTAAAAGCTATTTTGTTATTGCTTAGACAGAAAAAGACAAAAGCCTTCAGTGCTACTAAATTCTATTTCTGTGCAGGAATCTGGAGCAAGGTAGTGTTCCTTTTATCTGATATGCAACATGCAGTCTTTTTCTTCCAAGGTCAGGATCTCAGATACTGTATATAAATATTTATACAACTGCATAGCTTCTTACCCCATAAAAAATTTATTTGACAGTCGTTTTCAGTATCTCCAAATCCCCTTTATGGAAAATTTAAAAAGTAACACACTGAATCTGCAGGTATTAGTGTCACATCTTGTTTTCAGGGGTATTTGTCTTTTTTCTCCTTGCTCCACAGCAGAATGCCTTGTTTTTAAGTCCAGAATCCACCTTGCGCAGTTTGCATGCTCGGTTGTGCTGCTCTGTGACAACTGGTGGATTATGGATCATCCAACAATGGATGCAATGGAAGCATTTTATGAAATGGAGATTACAACTTAAAACTGCCAAATCAATTGTAAATGGACCTTTTTGACCTTCAGTGTCATGGGAATCATGATGAATTCCAACCTGCAAATTCAAATCAAAGTACCAACTCAAGCTGCGATCAATAAGCAATCACACTGCTATTGAGGCAAATACACAGACAGGGAAACTTCACACTGAGTCTGGTTTTGGCATTGTGATTTGAGCCAAAATGGCTTAAAGCCAGGAAAAGAAATGAAGCTGCTTGATCTCCTGTGCTCAAGGTTATCAGCTGTTTAAGGTGATTTTTATGGCTTGTGAAACAGGGGAAGGAAGTGTTTTGTGGCCCCTCCTGGACTTAGTATCCAGTCCATGGTGAGTAAGACATGTCTGTGAGACATGACAAATTTTGAGACCTTTGGTGGCAAGAAAGTACCTAAGAACATAAGAATGAGGTCATCTTGGGTCACCACGAAGATACATCTATCACAGTCTCTGATGCTGGCCAATACTGGATGCTTAAAAAAATGAGTGCAATAAGTTAGATATATCAAGAGCGATCCCTCCTTTGGCTGTATTCTACCAACAGCCAGAAGCTGAGGGACATCCTGAATCATAGCTGTTTCCAGATCATCACGTTTATCAGTCCCTGGGGCTCTCCCTGCATGTCTAATGCATGCAAACAATAGTAATAATTGTTCATTGTTGTTATTAATACCACGTAGAATGACAGCTCACAGAGCAGAGATAAGGGTTCTCCTGTTTAATTTCCTTCTCTTGTGTTTTCTTTTAGCACCACCACGTTGCCTTCCTACATCAGGATAACCAACGGCTACATCACAGTTAAACCTCCCATTTGGATTTCAAACCGGCTGGATCAGAGACCACGTTCAGATCGCCCATCCCAGCCTCAGCCTACAAGCTCAGCTTCAGCCAGCATTTTATGGCCATCAATAACTTCTCCTCTCTGTGTGGCCATAGCTTCTTTTCTCCTGAATCTACTGCAGCCTTCCTGACCACATTAGTATTACGTGCAATCTTTTGGAATAGAGAAGAGAGATAATTTATGAACGAATTGGAGGTTAAGACAACAACAGTTACAAGCTGGACCTTCTCAGTGAATCAGTAGTGCCTTCTAGCTGATTTTGTCTCTTTGCCCAGATACATTTTGAAACTCTAAAGCTTTATTGTAACACTGACTTACATCTTCTTTTTGTAGAAGGATCTTTATTTCCCATAGTGCTATGGGGTTTTGTAAAATATACATGTTCATATAAAGAAAAAAAAAGAAAAAGAAAAAATGTATTTATTCGACTGGTAAACTTATTTTTCTTGTTGTATATGTTAATAACATCCCTATTAATCAGTAGCGATGGTGAAACAGATAAATTAATATTTTCTATATTTGTTTTCTAACTGACAACTCTGCAAATGTCTGAACTGACACCAAATGAATGGCTGCTTTGTTTCTTTAACCATTACTTTTTACAGCAACTGTCCAATAAGTACAATTCTGCTGAACTTCTTTATTTACTTTTCTTTATCTCATTAGCATAGCTTACACTGAATAAAGCAGATCCTGCTCTTGGTGGCCTATGCCCATTAGAAAAATCGGTGCATTCTTAACTCAAGTTAGCTGCTACAACCTAAAATCCTAGTTATTTTTATATGACTTAATAAGTCATTAGTCAAAATAACCCCCTAAGTTCTCCTGTTGTCTTTAACTAAACTATTTAACTTCTTTGGAAATTACCAATTTCCCTCTTTGTCCTGGGATTAATTCATTAGCTAATGCAAATTAAGACAGCATTTTCTTAATAAAAAATTGCTTTTACAGTCTGGAATAATCCCACTGGAATTATTTTCTTCTCTCCCTCATCTTACGTAAACACAAGCCTACAACCTTTGCCAGCGTAAATGAGAACAGAACTTGGTCTGTCTGTAGGGTATAAAAATGTAGTATCCTGTTAATCTATAGAACTTCTTTGTACCAGTTGTATTAATGCAGATGGACAACCTGGAGGGCCCTCTTCATCTTGTTATTATGATGCTTAGAGCTGGTATCTCCATGCTGAATTATGGCTTGTCCAAAATCTGTTCAATACCACAGGAACCAAATTAACGCCTGTGTCATGGAGACGTACAGAACATTCCTTCGTTTGTAGACTATGGTACTTCTGTTAACTTAAGATGAAGATGTTATGACACCTTACACTCACTGAAAAATTTACTCCCTATCCAAGCAGCTATTTTTCATTAATGCAATGAACAACATCTATGGGGAAAAAAAATTATGTCCATCTTAAAAACTATTATGTTTAATAATGCATGTTGGTTTCTTTTCCCCAACAAAACATGATGAAAAATCCCTTTGGATACAAGAGTTTCAACCAGAAAATTAATTCCGGTTTTTCTTTCTAAGTCATCTACAAACCAAAAATCCTGTAACATGGTGAAAACATCTCAGTTAAAAAAGAAGACTCAAAAACCAGAAAAATACAATGCAAACTTTTCTTTATGAAAAAGCAGTGCTTTTTCACCTTGAAAAAAATATCAGATGATAATGATGATGATTATTATAATACTACTGATAAAAGTCTGACTGAAAACAGTCACATCGCTTTCCCACCAGCCCTACAGCATGGTCTCCAGGACGAGAGATGATTCCATGCAATCTTAAAGTCTCTGCAGTGAGAGATGGTTTAGGATTTATGGTTTATTTGTCATTGTGCCAGTTAATTCAGGAAAGTAGGTTAGGAAATAATTAGACTACAAAAGGCACAGTTTTACTTGAAACCAGGATGAAATACCGAGGTTTTCCATCATGCATCCCAACCCATTGCCTTGCAAAGGCCAGGGAGAATACAGATAACTTCTTTTTGACTTACTGCACGCCATGACCTCCAGCCTTTGCTCTATTTTTGGAAGAAGGTTGTGTAGATTTGTAGTCAATTTAAGTGGGTACAGCAGACAGTGCTATAAGCTACCCTTATATATTTTCAAGCAGAACAGTTGATAAGGCTGAATGGAAAACTTTGAGCTTTGCCCCAAATGTGAGCTTCGAGCACGCCCTGTGCATACTTTTACATTGTGTATTTTGGCTAGCAGAAGACTAGAGATGTTAGTTTTGGACAGAAGCCATTCACCTTGCATAATATTTATTGCATGGGGCTGGATACTGGAAACATATTTGGAGAACTTTCATTTTGGTTTTATTTGAGTTATTACCCTAGAAATGCCTTCATTTGAATATAATGGCTTAACAGACCTTCAAATTCAACCTTAATGCATTTTAAAAGATTATTGGTTCTCCTGCTGTATTCATGACAGAGATCAGAGCTGATTTTTAATGTCTCATTTACAAAAATGAAACTGGAAACAAGGTAGGCAAATTTTAAGGGTGATGATAAGTTACATAGTAAAAGTGAACAGCCAACCCATTTAATTTTATTTGTTGTAATCTGATCAAATCCAGAAATGAGTCTGTGGTACCATCCCAGAAATAATTCCAGGTGTTGGAAAATTTACAGAATAAATAGACAAGACCACATAAAGATAAGGGAGAGAGAAAAGAGCAGAAAACAGAAACAACTTGTCCAAGACTGTAAGGAAAAATACCAATAGGACCAAGACTAGAAGTTACAGTTCTACAGTTTCCCAACCTGTGGCTTTCTCCATAAGCCTCTGGGGCTTTTTTGAATGTTAGGAGCACACAGGTTCTCCACACTCACAGCTGTCATTATACTGCACAGAATAGTCACTCTGTCACTGATGATGGTTTTTTTCTGAGTCACTCCTCCACTGGATAGTAATATTCAATATTCATTAGCTCAGATATCACGGTATGTTTGGATATCACAATATGTAAACAGCTTGGCTATCAAAGTATGCTTTGACATGTTTGCATTTCCTGGCATTTTGTCCGTAATTCCCATGAAATGAATGAATGTAGACTGGAGCTCACCAAATTTCCCTTGTGCTGGCGCCCGCCTGTTTGTCATACTGCAGTGCAGGTGTCAAAGCAAAGTGTCTCCTGGCTCTGGGGTCAACACACTTGACTTCTGCCACCTAAAAGCATCTAGCTCACCCGATCATCTGAGCTTCCTCTGGTTAGGGGAGAAGACACCACTTACAATAAATAGAAGATTAAGTAGTTTCCCATAGATCCTAGCTCAGGAACCCCACATGAATGGCTCCAGCACAGTTCTCTAACCAAACATGTATTCTATTCTGTTGCCTTACCCTAAGGTATGACTTAGCGTAACTTTTTTCAATCCATGGCATGTAAGCATAGCAATACTAGAAAATGGGACCCTCACTGTGATTGATAAAATGGATTATTAATTAATCAGCTACAGCAGCCCAGTATTAATTAAAATACACTAATACTGGTCAGCACAGATCTATGCACATCCATTACAATGGATCATGATTATATTCACCATGAGTTTAAAAAGTGTGCATCAGATTTGATACATGCTTGTGAAGTAATACTGACTACCGGCTTCATGGGACTTCAGTTTTCTCTGTGGGTTTCTTGGAGAACTAGGAACCAACCATTTTCTTTCTCCAAAGGAAAGCTCAGATTCGCATGTAATCACAAGATTCCAGGAGCAGGAGATTTAACAAAAAATATTCATGTCTGCTATATATAATAGCAAACACCAGTGATACTGTTTACCTCTGAGAAACACAATCAAGAGAGTCATGCAATATCTAGCAATCAAGGACATGATTTTGGATGAGTCCAAAGCTAAATGGTCATAAGATTCATCTTTTCAACACAGCTACAACTGACACCAATACAATTCACATTATATATAACTGTAACATTATAAACGAATGCTAATTATCTGCCAAGTTCTTGCCCTGGTGGAATAAATATCCCATACCACCAGCAACAGAGCTAACTTCCACTCTGTCATTGTTTTAATGCTTTTCTTGCATGTGTTTAACTACGGATGCTACATTAACATGCATTGCCACTTGGAGAACCAGTGGGTAAGCTGGGACAGAAAGTATTTTATATTCTATGACTGATGTAGTTTCTCTTCAATCCCTCGGGCTGTTGAATAATGCAATACCTCTCCTGGCAATAAATTATCAACATGATTTATGATAACTATGCTTTATACAGGTGTCAAAATCTGCTTTGTTGAACTTTCCTTCCCATTCCTCCAAGCTCCACTGTAATTTAGGAACACCCAAGGTACGGAGTTGTATATTTATCTAAGTTCTTCAATATACATTTGTGGAGAGGGAGAGAGATGGAAAGAGGGAGAACTTAATCTATGTTTAGTGCATTGATTAGTCGAATGATATGACCCAGTCATTACCATATACCACTGTTAAGGAGGAATTTCCCATCATATATTTATGTTAGAGAAACCAAAGTGCCAAAGTTATTATCTCATCATAAATGTTATCATTCCAGACTTTGCTTAGTACCATATTTCTATATTATATCCGAAAAGCATATGGGCTTGTCATATCTCTGAAGTGATCAATGTACCATGGAGTATGCTAGAGTTCAGCTTCAACTTAAGCTTGTTTCAGCTTAACTGAAGCAGAAAGATAATTGCCAGAAAAATAATTGGTGTACGTATGTGTGCGTGCACATGCACATGCATGCATGTATGCATGGGGGTGTGTGGGTGTTTTGTTCGAACCCAAATGCAACCTTTCCTGCAACTAGCTTAGGAGGCAGCTTAATCTAGCTAAAGGCAGAGAAGTCTTTCCAATAAGTAGTCTATACTTTTCTTCTACAGGGATGATTAACCATCCTGCAGATTGATGCTCATGCTGAATTTTAAATTGCATGTTTGTCAGTTTTCAATTCAAATGTATTTCAAATATTTTTTCCTGTTCCGCCTCCTGCTTTCGTGAACTGTTTTGAAGAGTGTAATAAAAAGATGCTTTCTAATATTATTTTGTCAAAATATTTTTGTAGCATAATATATTAATAAAATGTTATTACAAATCCATAGCACAAGAATCTTGTATGTCTAGGTTCTTTCCTTTGCACTAAAAGCTAGGGAATCACTGGCAAAAGGGAACATTCAGTTTGTAGAGCTTATGCACGCTGCTTCTCTTTTACCCAAGACCACCATGGGCTAGAGGAAACCATATTCTGGGGAAGGTTCCTCATAAAATGATGCTGTTTTGTCAAGTCTGTTCCTGCAGAGATGTGGAGAATCTCTCTGTGTACCTTTTTATTGGTGAGAAGCTGCAGCCCCTGCTGTGTAACAGGTCTGGAGGAGCCTCAGCCTCTGATCCATGTCACTCAAGAGAATCCACTGGGTTAACCTCATGGCATGTTTTGAGTGGGGCTTGGGCAGAGGGAAGGTCTCCAAATGGCAGATACAGGACGTGGGAGCGGTGCTTGCCTGTACCATTTCAAAGGCTCAGTGGGAAAGCACAAAAAAACCCCCACAACAGGCCTTTTTGGGGTGCAGAGGGATGGGGGAATGCAGGAGCAGGGATTTTAAAAGACGTTGACCTGAATTCTGGGGAAAAACTCTGGTATATGGATGACACTGAGGCAGAGAGAGAGGATTGGGGTGTTTCATTCTTAGACGTGCTCATTTGCACACTGTCCAGGGTAGCGCGTGGGGAGTCCCACAGCCTTTGGGCCAGACACAGGGGCACACAGGACCACAGCTAGGAGATGGAGCGGGCTGAGAGTGTGGACAGCCAGAAAGGGCTCCACAGGGCTAGGGACAGCGGCTTTGCCAGTGCAGCAAGGCTTAACACCAGTATCCCATGCTGTGCCACAAGCAGATTCACCGCCCCTTCCTGAGCAGCAAGGGACAGGCAAGAAAATGCCCTGACAGCCTCTG